CCCAAATGCTTAGTGAGGACGAATTAAACTGGAACACTTTTTTCTGCACTGAGCTAAAGAGCAAAGATTTTATCTAATTTCCTGTTTTATTATTTAACAGTGAACATAAAAATTGAATGTAATTTTATACAGTATTGGAAGAAGAACAAAAGGATTTGATTCATGAGCGCTGTCCTGAACAGTTGATCAGAACTTATCCTTGGACATATAAAAGCTCAGTAAACAGACTTCATGAAACCAATACTATAATAATAATAATAATAATAATAAACTTTATTTTATAAAGCACCTTTAAATGTCGCTTTTCAAAGTGCTTTACAGAATGACAACAACAATAAATAAAAATAATACACAAGATAAAACACAACTACAATACACAAAGACCGTGGATGGTGGTACTAAGTATTATAGGCGCAGAGGGGTAAAGAATGGACCCAGTTAAGTAAAGGCTCTTCTAAAGAAGAAGGTTTTGAGTCTGGATTTCAAGGAGTTTAGAGAAGGTGACTCTGATATCCTTGGGGAGAGAGTTCCAGAGCTTGGGAGCATAACAGGAGAAGGCCCTGTCACCCATAGAGTGTAGACAGGATTGGGGAACAGTAAGGAGAGCAGAATTAGAAAAGCGAAGGTTGCGAGGTGGGGAGTAGGGCGCTAATAGTTCAGACAGGTATTGAGGTGCCAAGCCATGCAGAGCCTTATAGGTGAGCATGAGGATTTTAAAGTCCACACAGAATTTGACAGGAAGCCAGTGCAAGAACTCTAGGATAGGAGTAATATGATCACTTCCACTAGACCTGGTCAGGATTCTGGCTGCCAAATTTTGGACAGACTGCAGTTTGTTCACTGTGGATTTAGACACCCCAGGGAGTAGAGCATTACAGTACTCAATTCGGGAGAACACAAATGTGTTGATCAGCTTTTCAGCCACAGTTAGTGATAACATAGGGCATAGTCTAGCGATATTTCTGAGGTGAAAAAAAGATATTTTGACAATATGCTGCACATGTGGGTTAAATGTTAAGGTAGAATCGAATATCACCCCAAGGTTTTTCAATTTAGACTGAAGCTCAAGTACAGTACCATCTACAGATAGGGTAACAGGACTGGCTTTACGAAGTTGATGGGGGGTGCCAATAAACATGACTTCAGTCTTGTCACAGTTAAGATGAAGGAAATGTGGAGTCATCCAAGTTTTTATGTCAGAGATGCAATTAGATAGAATAGAGACGGCCACATCAGTGTCAGCTTTGGTATGGATGTATATTTGAGTATCATCAGCATAGAAATGATAGCTGAGGCCATGTGATCTTAAAAGCTGACTTAGTGGAAACATGTAAATGCTGAAGAGCAAGAGGCCCAGTATTGAGCCCAGAGGAACACCAGACTTGACGAGACCAATTTCAGACCTATATCCGCCAAGAGAGACAAAGTGACAGCGATCAGTGTAAGTGATCAGGTAAGACTTGAACCATTTGGGAGCAGCGTCAGAAACTCCAAACACAGTCTCAAGACGAGAAAGTAAGATGTCGTGGTCAACAGTGTCCAAAGCAGCACTGAGTTCAAGAAGGATGAGTACAGAAAGAGAACCGGAATCAGAATCAATACTAAAACTGAATTATACATGAAAGGATTTGGTTTTGAAAATCAAGGGATTCTAAGTTGGGTTTGGAGGCGTCCGAAGCCACAGAATCTCTCATGTATCTGGTCAAGAGAAGGCTCTTGTGGAACCTGCACATTGGCACAGCAAGATGGCCTAAATCAGTAGAGATTTATCTCGGCCTGCGATCCGGACTATGCTCATGCAATGCTTACTGCAATTCAGGAGCAGCTTGGGGCAGAGTCCAAATTCCAGCGAGAGCTGGCACCAGTTGCAGAGGATGTGAATCATGCGCCGATGTGAAGCACCTTAAATTAGCGAGCCACTCCATTCGGGTTGTACTGGAGCCTCAGAAAGGCTTTACAGCAGTCTAATCTTGCCGAAGTAACAGTGTGTAGCGTTATTATATCCCCAGGGAGAGAGGGAAGGCATTGGACCCTACTGTAAACTAAGCAGTGTTACGCAGGTGAAAGAAAGATGCACTTCTGAGATTCCTGATTTGGTCTGCAAATAAATCAGAGTTTCATCAGCATAACAGTGAAACCCAGCAGATTGTACTGAAGGCGTATATTGTTCACAAGCCATCCACAATAGTTGTGTACTTTAATTCTTTGTGTGGCATGAGTCAAGGTGCCATGCCTAGTCCTTCTATGAGTTTTTAGTCTGTAAGTAAACAGTTATAAAAATCACAAGAAGAGAAGAAATGAATATTTAATTTTCTGTCTTGCTATGCCCTGTATCCTGTAACTCTAAACTTTAGATCCACAGAATGTAAAGCTTTTCAGTGGAGCTATAGAAGTATTGTCTTTGATCATACTGAGTTTAAAAGGATCTGGGACAATGGCTGGCTTTGAAGTCTACAATAGTTCAGTTTTGAGAAGGAGATCTAACATAATGCAGCACCTAGGATTCTAGAGTGAAGTTTAGCAACGAACGATCTCACGGATTTTGACCTCTCCTTTCGACCCCGGGATTTTGCTCTTTTGGACTTCGCCTCACTGACTCGTTTGCCATCTCAGACACTCGCTACGCATAGGGTTCAGCTCGTTTACTGACGCTCTGGGGTAACGCAATGAGCTTTTCTAGGACTTTGAATTGTTCAGGAGTCTTAATTGAGTAAATCGGCTTACTTAAGTACTGCTGAGAATAAAGCATAGGAGAGGCTGGGATCACATGGACCAGGACTGTGAAATACTACAGGAGATGCCTGTTCAGGGAAAGCAACCTGTTGGATATTGGTAAAAAAACAGCAACAGGTACAGTATGTGAAACAAATCTCCTTACTAGATATTTTACTACTACTTATCTTCTAACCTTGAGCACAGAGCATTGTCTGCTCAATACAGAGGGGAAGGTATTTTATGTAGCTGTTTTGTTTTCCTTGTGGTTTCCCATTTTCCTTCCACACTGACTACTGCGAACAGTACGAGATGATGGGACGTGATGTCGGACATGGTCACAAAAAAGAGAAGCACGCTTTACATAAGAAAGCAAACACTTCCTCCTTCGCTGAAAACAACCCCTTCGCCAAAACAATGCAGCATTATTAAAAATGTCTCCCAGCTGGAAATACTAGTCCGACTCCCCGATTACGAGAAGACCCGACCATTGTTTTTTTATAAAAACAAAAATTCTCCGAACCTTTGCATCACGCAGAAGATGTATTGTCTCCTCTCTCTTCTGTCCGTTGGTATAGGGGGTTTTGTACAGCTGAACACCCTGCTGGGGACAGCAAAACATATTATATTATGCTTGGACTGGGCTTTGAAAGGAGGAGGGGGACTTTCAGTGAAAACTCCCAAAGCATTTCCTTAGAAAATCTGATTACTGTCAGGCTCCTCTCCCTTTCACACGGTGATATATTTAGTAGGGCTCCGGTGGTAGACAACTGTAAATAATCTACTTGCATTTAGCTAGTAAGAGTGCTTTCAGAAAGCAGACATGCACCAGCTCTGAGAGAAAACCTCACCCTCTCTCTTAATCCCTGTGCAGAGCAGAAGCATCATTGTGGGGGGGGCTTTGTTATAAGGGCCCTCAGTATCCCCAGATGGGATACAAAT